ACACTCTTCCCCCCCCCCCCCACCATCAAACCATCAGTTATTACACTGCGCCCCGTCTGTCATATTAATCTCAGTATACACCAAATGGTCCTGGTTGATAAAACCGGTAGCAGTTCCCTTATTGCAATCGGTAGCTTCCTGGCCAAAGCAGCGGTACGTTGTCCCCGCACTCTGAGTACCTAGAATAGGCGCAGTGTCTTGCTCATAGATCTCCGTGCGCGTGTGCACGAAGCCCATGGGGGTGAACGGTAACCCGGGCACGCCGTCGATGCGATGCGTGATACGGATGAGAGTGCCGAGATTGGTGTCGCTCGCGCCAGATAGCTTGTCAGTGTAGTCGGCGTACTGTTGGTTTCCGACGCGTAGTGAGCCCATGGTGTATGCGATTTTGATTGGTACGCCGTTGGCTTTGAGGTCGGTGTACGCGATGCTTGCCAAACCACCTCCTAGGCTGTGGCCGGTGATGATGGTGGAGTAGGACGGCTGTTCAGCACGTAGTTCAGCGAGTGCCTGGATAACACCAGCCTGGACGGATCGCCAGCCTTTCAAAACACCGCCGTGGACTTGGCAACCCGTGCAGCCTGGCGCGGAATCAAAGGGCATGAAGAAAAAGTTGAAGTCTGTTCCGAAATCCTGTAGTGAAGATGAGCCGGCGAAGGAGACGATGAATTCTTTGGCGGCGTCATCTTGGAAGACGGCGACTTGGGTGTCGTTTACGATATCGGACACGACTTTTCGGACTAGTTTTGAGCCAAAGGGAGGGCTTTTGCATGTTCCGAAGCCGTAGACGAAGGTGGCGAGGGAGGCTACGGCGTATCTGGTGTATCGTTGGAGGACTGGGTAGAACTCTGGCTGAACTGGTGGGGGTAAGCAAGCGATCATGTCGGATACGGTTGGTATATCATACTGAGCTCTTTGGGTTTTGTCTGCCTGTTGGCGAGCTCCCGAATGTCAGTTGGGGCAGCCTGGACAAAGGGTGCGGCAAGAGCGGCAACGGCAAAGGTGGAGAGCTTCATAATAACGAGATGTCTTGATCCTCAACAACAACTCTTCCATCAGAGCGACAACACATTATATACATACACGTCCCTGTCACTAACTCCACTCCCCTCCCTGAACGCTTCCGCCATCCCAAGGCACAGGAGCACAACGACCGGAAACAGCCATCCTGAGTCGTTCAAGCATCGCGCAGTGCAGATCCCAAGCTACCAGCTGTCAGGTACGCCGCACGACTCAGTTTTACAAGCTCCAACCCCGAACTCATCATCCTCTTGAAAGTTCTTTGTGGGGTCTGGTGGCGCAAGACGATCGTTGTGACAGGCTCGGACCTGCGCCCTGAGGTGTTCAGGGCACGTAGCGCATGACCGATCGCCATGTTCGCACTTTGTTTTGCCGCTACGCCGCCGTGTTAGTGTATCGAAAACCACAATATACACTTCCGGGCAGCTTCGCATTCGCTTTCACGCACGTGGATGATGCTGCTGCTGGGTGGTAAGCGGGAACGGCCGGCTGCGCGTGGTGTTGTGGAGTTGTTTTGTATGTATGAGGGATCTCGGCAGGCTTTGTGGTGATCAACCCCGCATTGGTTTTCTCCGCTGTCTGCCGTCGCGTCGAGTTGCCGTTGGGGCCTAGGTAACTTTCGCTTCACATGATTGCGATTGTACGACCGCACGTACTTAGATACGGTGAAGACGAAAGATTAGACTGTACCTGTCCAGTAACCCGTCAACACGTCCACGGGTGCGAGGCGATTGGCATCTACCTAGGTACCGTACCATACTTGAACCGGATGCGACGGCGAGTTCTCCAGCGAACCCAACGGCGTGAAGCTAGAGGTTGAACAGGACTTCGTTCCGAAAGCCTAGAGCTGTATAGCAGGTAACATCTAGCGCCCAGAGACGTAGAAGGTAATCATATTCGACGTCGAAGCCTAGCAAGCGGAGGATTATAAATGTCATCGGAGGCATCTCCTCCGTCTGACGAGTACCTATTCATGGATTTGGGAAAGGGATTTGGATACCTCGGCCTCTACGGTATTGGACAATGGGAAGTACCGCAACGGTTCGTTCGTTGTCTGACTCGGGTTTTGCATGTTGCCATACCATCGTTTGTCCCTGCGCAGCAGCTCGCGGACAGCCGGGCGACCTCAGCGAAGATCACCTCGCATAGATCTACCTACTTCAGCGACACTCCTCTCCATCCTAGCAACAATGACCTCATATATCGAATTCCTATCATTTACACACCATTCAACGGTTCGGAGGAAACTCTAGCTACCGTCACTATCGAACCACCCATGAAAGGTTGCACACAAAGTTTTGCTTCCCGTAGAGCAGGTGTTCAGCGTTTCAGCACCTCACGGCTGCGACATGCACGTCATTCTCATTGCGAGAGCAAAAGGTGAACGCATGTCATCGGCGGAGAAAATTTCAAATGGACACTAGACATCGCCATCTGGGTGTCACGAAATAATGCATTCACCATGGCGTGGTGGATCAAAAGAACATTGGAGCTAGTTTTGGACAGAGTGGCTAATTGGGTTACATTTGACAGGAGCGGAGAGCGACTAGAGCAGACAATAAGAGATCTTAATTAACTTATCCTGCGCAGCAAGGTACAAGTTTAACGATAAGCGCTGTAAAAAAGACTAGGCTACTGTCTGCATTGAAGGGGCATATGCCGTGTAGGATCAAACCCTGGAACTGTCGCGAGACCTTGACGTCCGCCTGTTATATAAGCTCAGCCGGACTGAAAAGCTGGGTGACATGACAGCTGTACACACGTTTTTTTTTGGGTTTGGATGTGATATGGTGTGGGTGCGGTACACGATCTAGCATGTGTACCTTGCATTTCAATGACTAGCTACCTGTAGCTGCGCTGCTTTCTCCGCTAATACCGGTCTTACTCCAAGGAAGGATCATGATACAACTCATGTAGAGGCGTGAAATCATAGTCCTCATTGTCGAGTTCTCCCTGGACGAGACTTTTGGCATAAGATTTCCAAGCGTATTTCGGTTGACCCCCCAACTCAGTGCCAATGCGGTAAGCCTCCTCTTCGAACTCCATCAGACTGCCTATAGGGCAAGACAGCCGCACTGTAGAATCGCCAGACAAAATCAGCCGTACGGAAGTAACAAGGCGCCATTCAAGGCGTTTCTCGAAACTGAGATAGTAGGCCTCCGGGAAAGCCGATCTGAGAGAGGGAGGGTTGTCAGTCTGGTGATATTGACGTTTATATGCAAGAGAAAGCGCCGCAAGCGATCTGATGGCATTCCATACGCGCTGTGCGGTCTTGACATTTGCTTCGAGATGGAGGGCATAAGCAAATGGGGGCATTCCAGCGTGTCGTAAATCCATCGCCTCGATGATCCAGTCAATGATCTTGAACGCAGCGCGCAATAGCGAGCATGTCGGCCTTTCTTGTAGCGAAGGTATTCGAGAAGCATTGATCCATCCAAGCATCGCGTGAGAATTCAGGAAGCTTCCGTGATGCGTCAGTATAGAACGTCAGATTGCAGACTTGGGGTTTGACTCACATGGCACTCCACATGTCAACACGATGAACAACGCGTAACCGCGGAAGATCTTTCAAGTAAGGAATGAGACCGTGCGCATGGCATCGTGGTAACGAAGAACATTTGCGATCTTCGCGTATGTCTAGATGACGTAACCGGGACCGCTGAAGGTGTGACAGCGTGCCGAGAAAGCGAATGCTCTGCGAGGCGGCCGACTCATAATATCGGAGCTCTTTCCCACCATCGAGATTTACTGCTCCGTGACTTCCGTTTGAAAGAAACGCCAAGAGGTCGCTCGCCTCTTTGATCTGCACAGCTGTAGGCGTTACCCAAGGTGGCCATTGTGTGGAGGAGAATGTTGAAGATGCGATCTCAAATGCGCTCCTACGCACATGGTCCGTAAAATAGATCCAACTCCTGATGTAGTAGGGCCACCTGATAAGATTCCATGATCTGAGCCATTGGGGAAGACCGAAGTGAGAACATATATACTCAAGTGCGTCTCGTAGAGCTAGGCGGTCCGCGTAACTCACTACGTGTATAGTTCCTACTGCGGTGTCTGGAAGATCACAGTGTCGTTTCTTCATTTGTACCCACAATTGGAGTTGAGCACGAATACCACTCTGAGGATACTGTTTGGAGATGTATTCAGTCAGTTCCTCGGCACCTGCGAAGAATAGTCAGTTGGTGACTAGTACGTTTATGTGTTTGCATATGTGTATGAAGATCGACCTACCGTATGCATCGATTGCTATGCGAAAAGCACCAATCTTCTGCTGACCCAGTCTACGTAAGAAACCGTTGTAATGGCTAACTGTAGACTGCAACGACGATCCAATCACACCCTCTACTCCTGTGATAACTGCGATATGCGTTTTGAATTTGATGGTGTTTTTACTAAAAGTGAATTCTGTTGCCTCCGCCGCGACTTGCTTGCAAGTATATAGGAGTGCGACGTCGATAGCTGTGCCGTCAAGGTAGCGTAGTGTGTTAGTATCTGGATGATGATGGTAGCCGTCGTCGCCGATGAAGTAGTGAGTATAGATCTCGTCGCGAAGTTCCCGAGGCATGCGAAGAAGATGGCAGGTCTGAGTCTGCGAAGCTGCCATGGTGTAGAGCTGGTAGTCGGACGGATGGCGAAATCTAAATAAAGGGAAAAGAGATCAGTACATATAAGAAGGTCTTCAAGCGCGTTCCACGGTTGGGAACAAACTCTCTGCCAGGTGTCCTTAGGCAGCAGCATTGCCAAAGTGTGGTACTGAATTTTGCAACCTATGTTTTCGCGGCGCTGAAACCATGGATGGCCGAAGAACAAAGTTTCAAAAATGGGTACCTGAATCGGTGCGCCTTTCGGATGCGTGATGTGTATTCCTTCGTGCGCAAGATGCACCTACGCTTGGTATAATGCTGGTTCGACCAATCGTCGTGGCACAACGCCAATACATGTAGTATACATCCACCAAACCGTGACCCACGCTCACTTGCCGCCCACTCTCTTGTTCTTGAGTTTGATGGTCTCTCCGTTGACGAAGATACCCTTGCCCTTGTACGGTTCTGGTACCCTCCAACTCCTTATCTTAGCTGCGAACTGCATGACCACCTCCTTCTCAGGCCCCTCCAACAGTAAGCGCGTTGGCTGCGGTGTGCTCGCGGTGACGCCCTTTGGTATGGCCAGTTCGACTGGATGTGTGTATCCGACCTTCAAGTTGACGAACTTTTGGCCGGGGAATTCTGACTTTACCGTCGTCGCGGAGTCTTCGACGGAGGCACGGTAACCGACACCGTTGAAGCGGAGAATCGCACTGTGTCCTTCGCTGACGCCGAGGATATGGTTCTGGAGGTATGCGCGGGTGGTGCCTGGAAGTAAGTCAGCGAATTGAGCAGCCCATGGTGATTGCAGCGATCTTACCCCACATTGCCTTTTGCTTCGCATCTTTCCCGTCTTCGATTGTCAAGGTCGGCCCGCCTAATGCCGGATCCTGGTTGATATTGACGTATGGGGGAATGGCCATCGAAAGCTCGCCCAGTGGTCCCTTGATGTGTACTGTAGACATGGCCTGCACTCTGGCACTTCTCGCCTTAGCGGAAGGCGCGACCACTTGGAACGTGACTCCCTGGGGTATTGAGAGCGGTAAAGACCCGATCTTGGATTGACATGATGGCGTCGAGGTAAAGGTCCTGGTTGGCGCGGGCCTGGAAAATACGGGCAGCAGGAAAGTCGGTATTGAGTTGCTGCTCTGGCTCGAGGCCTTTGCGAGGCTTTGGGCGCACCGCCGTCGTGCTGGGGCGAACATGTTGATTTGATGCCGGCAATGATTATCGCGAGAGTTTTCGGAATGTCCAACTCGCTGCTAGCTCATCCGGTCTCGTGATAGCGCGTCATCGACGTCTCTGATTGGTTGGGCCGTCGCACCTTCCCCCACGAACACCCCTCAACACCACAACACTCCGGTCGTCATCACTCCCTGGGGAACATCTTGTGCGATGCAACATTCATTTCCGACGCTTGATACCATCGACTGACCGTCCTCTCACCCAGGCATGTGCCTCTTGATCGTCAACTAACAGCGCGTGCTCTTACCCCAGATTTGACCTCACCTTCCTGGCGCGGCAGGCGTCATGCTTCAGGCTCTTCAACGTTACGTCTTCTTTGCTCTCTCACCATATCGTGAACTCACATGGTCGATACTAATAGAGATCTTACCATCCTTGACCTCTCGCCTTCAATTTCTCTACTTTCTTCTACTCCCTGGCTCCTGCTCTATCTCGCCAGCTTTCCGTGCCGTGTTTTCGATAACTCTGACTCCTCACCAGCGAACCGCCCATATGGAATTCCAACATGGACTCATCAAGGCGAAGCTGATCATGATGGGTCTTTTCCTCCTACCTGCAGTGTCCTCTCATTACCACTCCCCGCCGGCACATGCAGCTCCAACAGTCAACGTGGATTCTTTGTTCCAATACACAACATCTAGGAACCACAAAGTGATAACACAAGCAGTCGACTTCGTCGTTTCCATGCAGACAGCACCTACTTGCACTCGCATGGCAGCTTCTCATCTGATGAACGAGTGCAAACTCCTGGAACATGCACCGGATTTCGCCAAATCTCGCCCGGAAGCGTATCTGGACAATGTCAAAACCGAGTACGCCGCCAAACTAGCTGTATGCGAACTCCTTAGTGCTCAGCTAGTGAACCCAACACCACCGGCAAATTGCGAAATCCTGGTTCCAGCTTCAAGACATTGCGGCAAAGGCGGTAGCTGGTGGCACGCCCGGCCGGAAGTTCCTAGCGAGAAGCAATGCTACCCCGACTTCAAAGAGTACCAATACACCCAATGCCTCAAGAGCCTTCAATCGACACCACAGTACTGGACATCGTTCAGCAACGCCCGCCAAAATGCAGTGGTCATGTGCCAGGCCAGCAGAGATGTCATCGAGCGAGAAAATCACCTTGAGATATTCAAGAACCTGACCCAGGTGCTGGGTGATGTGACATCAAACATGCAGAAGACGACCGAAGAGTACGAGTCTTTGATCCGTGAGCAGAGGCAGTACTCTGAGGAAGCTCGCGACTCTCATCAGCAGCTCAAAGAAGACATCCAGGCGGTTCAGGAGAAGGCCGTCGCCACTGTGGGTGCGCTGGATGACAAGTTCCGTACTTTCATGGAGGTGTCAATCTCAGATCTCATTACAGCTCTAGCCGAGAGTCAGAGCAACGAGATTGACCGGATACATGAGAGGATGCAAGACTTCTCGCAAGATTTGATGCTAGAAAGCTCACAGCTGGCGAAACAGTTCACTGGCGAGCTTCAACAGTACCATGACCTAGCCAGGGTGAGCATTCAGTCCAACCACGAGGCGCAAGTCGACAGCTACACTGTTCTAGCAAGCTACATGGGCGTCACACACGATACCATCGATCGAACGAACAATATCGCAGATCGCTCTCTTTCTACAGTCGACAGTATTGCGCAACGTCTGGACATTTTCGAGACGCAGACTGAGCACATTGCCGAAGGTTTCGCTTTCCTAAGTGCGATACCAGCCCTTGTCACACTACTCGTCCGCAGCTTCTTAGCCATGGTCGGTACACTATTTATCTTCACTGTCCTGTACAAGCTCAACGCAAAGCTCGCGGCCTACACTGCCGGCGCATGCAGTTCTGCTTTCCTCCTGCATGCATGCGGTATTTTCGACTGGCTCGGCGATCTTCCCTCCCGCGTCGCAAAGATCCACGACCGACCTCCTCTTGCGACTGTCGCTAGCATGTCATCCTGGCAGAAAGGCGCAGGCTTCGTCCTTTTACTCTGGCTCGCCGCCTACCCGGTGTGTCGCATCAACGCCTACCTCGGGAATCTCATAGCCACAACACTGAAGCGCATTCTGAGCCCAATCTGGATCAGCGAGTATAGCAACGAGAATGGTACTGGTTTCTTACCCAGCATCGAGATTCCCGCTGCGTATCCTCGTCGCGCGGATGACCGATATCACCGAAATGATGTCGGTTACCGCAACTATCCCGACTACTCAAAGTCGGCCTCACCACCCAGCGACATCTAGCAACCAGCATTGCGGCAGATTGTCCAGAGTTCTCAGCATCAACGTCAACATATCACCGGCACATTTATGACATATATTTCTAAACGACTTCTCAGAAAGCGTTACTTGTACCGAGAGCCATCTTTCATCGGTCGATATATATTCAGCTCGCGATATACCCTTAGCTTTTCTTACCGTTTCACAACAGTACTTCCACGGCGTTGGAGCAACATCTTACACTACTTTCGGCAATTTCCACATTTTATCTCAGCAAAAAGGCGGAGTGGAGGAACCGGGCAACTTGGCGCATGTAAGGCAGAGACCTTTATATATATCCTTCAATATCATCAACTCATAGTTCATCACTATACCCGTCCCAGTCGCACATATGCATGATGTGACCTATTCCGTAGACCATGTCCTGCAGGCACACTCAATCCTCCTCATCATCCGGCAACTCCTGAATCCTCCCCGAGCGATACGCCTCCTCAACCGGATTCTGCACATCCATCACACCCGTCGCTTTCAACCTTCATCAAAGTTAGCACGCTTCCCCTCAGCACAAGATAACTCAACACATACCTCTCAAACAACACAAACAACCTCTCAGCCTCCCTCTCCTTCTCCTCCTGACTCATAGGCTCCATCTGCACATGCTCTTCCTTATCCAGCCTCTGTCCTGTGATAGGGTTCACAGGAATACCCCCTTCGACATCACCCGCCTCCGCATTCGCCTTCACAAGATCCTCAGGCATGCTAATATTGTTCGACATGAGGAAACCGGACGCATATCCATAGCCTACGTTATGAACGAATGTCGCTGGGTCTTTGCCTGAGAGTTCAAATAAGAGCGAGGAGATTGATCCGCGGAGCGCGGGTGTCATTGCTGACGTGGAGAGGTTGAGGAGCCGCGAGGAAAGCGTGTTTGATTTCCCGAGGGGCTTATCGCGTTCTTCGGTTGTGGGAAGGAGCATCTCCTCCATCGTCTTCTTTACATCTTCAGGTGCGAACTCGTAGATACGGCGGATGAGCGTTAGAACGGGGGAAACAGCATCATCAAGTTCTTTGGGTGGATAGGCGATGAGGGCGCGGGACAGGATGCAGATGAGGTGTCTTGCGTTTGTTCTCGGTTCGAAAGACGGGAAGACCGCTTTTTTGCCTTCTTCGCACTCTAGATCGAGGTGCAGGAGCACGTTGACGAGTTCGCGGGCTGGCACTGTTAGGGGTGGTTCGGTTACGCCGCGCCGGACGAGGATCTTGAAGACGGCAGGTATGGAGGGGGTGAAGTGGGGGCTGAGGTCGGGGTGGAAGTGGATTATGTTGAAGACGAGCTTGAGGGTTTCGGCGAGGGCCATGAGTTCCATGGGTTGGTTGTGGCCTTTTGGACCTGCTGGGGCGGACTTGGAGTAGCGCGAAGCATGGCGCGTTATGGCCGCGTTGATGCTGGAGGCTAGGGCGTTGGAGCGGACGAGTGAAGCGTAGTCGAGGCTTGTGTCGTAGGTTGTGAGGAAGAGGATGCGGGAGGCGAGGAACTCGTTGTCGATGTTGTCGCTCTATACAGAAGTCAGTCTAGCCGTATGTCTAATCATCGCTGGTGTCTGCGTACCTTCAGCTTCTCCGCTGCGTGTGGGCCATGGCCTAGATCAACGAGTATCTGGCGCGTCTTGGGTTGGAGGAGAAGGGCGTTGGCTATACACCGTAGAGCCTCTTGTGATGCGACAGTGGTCTCTCCGTCAAATGCATGGCGTCCTAGTGTCCGAAGGCCCTGTAACGGTCACTACGCCGTTCCCATCGCTCTGCGCAAAGTGTAGCGTACATCTTCCGTGAATATGGGATCGGAGTTCTCGACTGATCGGCCGTAGACTTTGAGTTGTTCGAGTAGCTGTTGCTTTTCTATCCATCCAGTCAGCGCAACGCATGCGTGTATAGGGTAGGAGACATGCGCTCAGTAGACAGCTTCTTCGCGTCCAGATCGGCTTTCAACTCGGAAAGGATTCTGGTGACGTCGTCGAGCTTTGCTGTCATACCGTTAGTAATGAGTCACGTGGAAGGTAGTCCTGCGCAGTAGTACTGACCTCTGCCCGTTCTTTGCGACAACATGGCGGTTGTGTTGCAGGACACGATCAGAGCGCATCACGTCACTCGGGGTGGAAGCTCGCGCTCGGAAAGCCCCACTATTGTGGGACCTGCATCGACTGTCGCATTCCAGGGTCCGCGTCAACAAGCAACGAACCACAACAGGTGCCATAAAGCAAGTAGCCACAGCCTGTTCACGAATGCCTTGATCGTTCATCGTTTTTAGGACAGATATTATTCCATCTGGTGTGATGCCCTTGCATACTGTGGCAGCATCATGTCATGGAAGCAACATCCAAATACGGAATACGTTGATCCTTTGCTTCGTTCTCATTATACCAGAGAATATGACAATATGCGCTGAAGGGCTTCTGCACATCAGACTGGCACAACAAAACATGTTTCGGACGCAGGGGGCGGGCGCTGGCTCGAGTGCCCGTCGTCCAGTGAATGGCGGTTAAGGTTAGCACTTTACGCGCACGAGGAGCGTCGCGCTAGACGCGTCGCCAACACCAACCTTTGACTTCTAGACCGGGGTAGTCGATCACCTCCACGCGCTCGACACATTCACTCACGCATACCAGAGCGATGCCAGCGTCTTCTTGTGCTTTTGTTCTCTTTTCTTGTTAGCGGTTCCCAGCATAGCCATGGTGTCGTCCAAATTCGAATCTCTCTCCGTGCGCCCTCCGACTCCACCCAAAGACCAAGAAGACACAGCCGCCGACGAGACGGTGCAATTCCTCCAAGACCCCTTTGGCGAGAAGCCAATCCCGCCCAGGCTCCGAGCAGCAAAGAGAGCGCCCAACACGCCAGAGCAATCGCCGTCGTCCGACATCGACATACCCTCGAGTTCTGCCAGCGCACGGAAGAGAGTCAACTTCGAGCTGCAGCTATGCGACATACCCACCAACAAGGCAGTCGCGCAGTCCTGGACACCCACGCGTAGCTCACCGTTAAAGCCCCTCCCCCAGAACCGTCTCACCAAGCCGCTCAAATCCATCCTGAAGCCCTCCGACGGCACGCAAACACCTCCCACAGAAGACGCTGCCAACCCACTCAACTACAAGTCATTCGCCGAGATGCTGGACGCGATAGTGAAGCTGCTCGCTTCTTCCGAGCGCGGAACTCGGTTAGATGCATACGGCTCCTTGCAGAGGACGATGCAGGCATACGACAAGATACCCGACCCCCAGGCGCTGAAGCAGAAGATGTCTCTGTTGACCCAGTTCATACGACGCGACATAACGGCGCCAGGTTTGGGTGGGACAGGGCTGGACTCACAGCTCATTGGACAGGCGATGAAGCTGCTCATGGCTCTGTTCCGCATCACCGACTTGATATCCGCCATGGACGAAGACTTCTGCTCCTTCATCATAGACCGCATCATCCGCGTAGCTTCCGATAGCTCCATGCCCAAGACCACCGTCAACACACACCTGGCTGTCCTGATGCAGCAGAGTTTCCGGCCGAAGACCATGACTGCGACACGCGTCGAGAAGGTGCTCGAGGCACTAGACACGATCCACGAGCGAACATCGGGCCACGCGGTACAGGCATACAGGGTCCGGATATACAGGAAGCTGCTTCAGCAACGCCCGGACGTTATGATCAGGCATACCGAACGATGGTTCACGCATACTCTCAAAGCTCTGGTGTCGGTTCAGAAGGATATCAGCCAGAGTGCACTGGACACTGCAGTAACGGCTGCAAAGACCATTGGCCATGACCGACATGTCGCCAAATCCGTATTGTCTGTTCTGAACCGGGTTAAGAGCGACGGCGGCACCATTGCTAGCGTCTTCGCAGCAGAACTGGATCGTATGCTCGGTGGTGATTATGCCGTCTTGGTGCCACAGATCGTGGCTGCTGTCACGGGTCTACTCAAAGACTCGCTTGATGCGTTCGCAGGCTTGAAGGAATGGCTCGTCCTCGTTAACAAGTGCCTGTCATCCGACAACGACCAAGTCCGATTATACTCCAACGTCGCGGTTGCCTTCTTAGCCTACTCCGTCAACTTCACCAACTTACCCGAAGAAAAGAAAGTCAAAGCATGGTCGGGGATGTTCGTTAAAATCTCGGTACATGCACTGCAACGGAAGACCCCAGTAAAGAAAGCTGAGCGCGATGCTGTTTCATCCGCATACTTCACAATGCTGTATTATGCGTTTCGACCAGCAGCCTCCTTTGAACAATTCGACGGACATTGGACTGACTTCATAGCTGGCCTCTGGAGTCCAATCATCGCAAAGTCTGCTCCGCAGCACGCCATACCCTGCCGAATTGTGTCTGCTCTCTTGGATGGCTCCCGGAAACCTTGGAACGAGAATCGGGCGCTAGATCTCCGGCCAAATTATATGATCCAGCGAGGGGAGCTTCCTCTGGTTGATCCCAAGTGGGTACGAAAGTCGATTGCTCTTGTACTAGAGTTTGTGGAGAATATTCTAGAGGCTGCACTCAAGACCGAAAGCAAAGAGCACGAAGACGAACCGTTTCAGACGATGTGGACAGCAGTCATCAACTCTTTGGTGGAAGCAAGCAGCAAGGAGATCATGGCGTCCACAGAAACCAAAGATGCCATGGCACATATCATCAACCTGCTGCGCCGGATCTGGGACAGCCATACGGACAACATTGCAGTAGAACAGAAGAGGGAGGATCTTTGGGCAACCAAGTTCTGCTTCCTGATAGAGACTGTTGTCCAGAAGATGGGCGCTTTTCAGTTCGCAGACAAATGTCTCACACGCAACGCCGACAACGAGATCGAAGTCGCCTCGACACCATCACATCGATCACGGCATCAAGGCACCCGATCGTCCCCGCTTCTCTTCCTGCTGGATCTTCTCGTCACACAATCAGAAGGAAAGCTAGCTGATTCTGTTCGACTCCGCGCAATGGACGTGATCATCGAGCCCTGTTTCGCTGTCCAAAACACTCGGCTGAGCAAGTTGGAGCTTCTTCGGGACTGTGCCGCGACGGTGGATGGCTCGCTGAAGGGTGCAGTGGCATCAGAGTTCTGGACGCGGATTGTAACCTTGCTCGATACCATGTTGCAAGATCAAGCAGCCCCTTCAGGTGACCGCAGCGCTCGCTCATTGGGAAAAGAGTACGAGATTGTGGTCGAATTCCTTAGTTTGGGTTCTGCCTACTTGCTAGACAAGACCGTCGGGCATCAGATTTTGTCGACTTTGGTCGGTACCGTCCGACGAGAAGCAGGAGAAGGTGCACTTGCACTCGCTGTCATTGAAAAGGTCTCTGAGCAAGTCCTGAAGCGCACACCTGACGAAGACAAAGCTTCCTGTCTGGCGTACGCCAGCATTCTTCTCCGCAACCTACCAAAGCAGATGAGTCGCAAAGTGATGGATCAAGGTCGGCAGAATCTCTGGCCTTCAAACACAGCTGCAAGGTCCCATGATATCGACCCTTATGTCCATCTTTACGGAGCCATCACTTCCGTTGGGTCAGCCGCTTACAGGAATCTTGACAAAGACGATGTAGAGGCTACCAAAGGCTTTCTTTCTGCGCTGAGCACCTCGGTCCAACACTGCTCGACGTCTCATCTTGCTGGGTATCTACGCAAGATACAAGACGCAATCCAGGTTTGGGTGGAAGATCCGGAGAAGAAGATGCAGAGCAAGGAAGAGCCATTGAAGAGCTTGCATCGTGAGGTACGTTGTCCGTTAGCAGAAGGCTCGAGCAATCACTAACCATTTCCAGGTCATCAACATGTGGGAGGAAGTCGACAAAGCTGTAGAGCGGTTACCGCGCAAGGATAGCCAAACCCTGCTTCATTTGCAGGCGTTGGTGACTGCAGGCTTCTTGAGCAGACGCCGAAGCATCGTTAACATTTCTATTGCAACCTGGAATGCCACTTTTGGAAAAGAGGATAGCTTGCGATACCCCACTCGACTTGAGCAGGCCCTGCGCCAATTACGGAACAGTGTCGAGCTTTCTCTTCCCTCACTGGAGGTCCGGGAAGACGATGCTGTAAGTGCATAAATCAGTACTTCCAAAACGTCACTAACGTCAAAACAGGAGAACAAGCTCTCGTTCTACGACTCCGATACGAGCGCAGACGAAGTCAAACGTGCATTCAAGAGCCCGCGCGTAAAGGCCTCGCCCTTCAAGATCTCTAAAGCGTCGCGAAGATCCAAGTCTCGATCTCCTGCAGTACCCACCTCAGCTACCAGGAGAGTGCCCTCGCGACAAACGCCAAAGATCCGTCTCCGCCACGACGACTCTCAGATCAAATTCGAACCTATCGTCTCTTCACCATCGAACCCGTTCCAGCAAGAATCACAGGTGTTGACTGATCGACAAAAAGAGATGATCGATCGTCAAAGGCTCAGCACTGGTATATTTGCTAAGATGGGCGCTGTCTCACCACAGCCAGAGGATGTGCCTTCGCCGATGGAGATACACTCAGATGCGTTGACTGCAGATGATCTGCCAGATCACACCTCTCGGGCAACTCCGCTCAAAGCTCTCGCAGCCATGGGTCCTATGGACGGCTACCTTGGGTCATCGCCGACACCACACTCGCGCAAGAATACTCGTCATGTTGTGAGCGAAGACACAGATATTGCAACGCCGACGGCCGTGCGGAGCATACAGTTTGCGAACGATGACCTGAACTCTTCGCCGCCTCAGTTTAGCAAGGATGACAGATCTAACACCAAGCAAAGCGAGCCTGATGTTCTCGTAGGATCCAGCTTTGAGTACCGTCAACCGGAAAGCTCGGTTTCGATCTCCTTTGATGAAGGAACCACAATCGATGAGGAAGCACTGCTTGACGCTGTTGCGCTCCACGACAACACACAAATGGAATCCGGACCCCCTTTAGACATGATCATGTCAGACGTGCCAAGCTCCACCATAGACCTGCAACTCACAGCGCAAATCGACGCCGATATGCAAGTACATGATGCTCCTGCAGAAGCGACAGAGTCCGCACAATCAGAATCGAATGCCGAATACGTCGATGCTGCATCACATCCGCAGTCATCAATGTTGGAGGACCAAGCTGGCAGCGACACCGAAGTAGACGAGTCACAGACGCCAACTCGCGGTCCTGCCCGCCGGTCTCCACGCAAGAGCTCCCAAGCCAACACAAGCAGCACTAGCCGAGTAGGTGACTCTTTCGATAACAGTTCCGCAAAAGGAACACCGTACTCCCTGCGTAGTTCCTCCCGCCACTCCATGGGCAGCCCCTCTCGGCCTCCAAGCGGCAAAAAACCCAGACGCACACCCGCAAAGAACAAGAAGAACAGCAAGAAACAGACACAGGAGAGTCCCGCACCTGCCCCAGCTGCCGCTCCTGCCCCGGTATCAGAACCAGAGCCCGCACCAGCGTCATCTCAGCCTTCCGACACCGACATCCTCGACAACATCACCGTCGCCGCACCAGTCCCACCTTCCAACCCACGAGGCAAGAAACGGAAATCTACTCACACTACCACCTCCTCCACCACGACCGCAACCACGACCGAACCCTCCATCCCCGTCCCCGCATCAACAACCCGGAAACAAAACCTGCGCCGCTCCCAATCCCTGCTCTCTCACGTCGAAAACACGCAGGATATCACCGTGGTGGATGAAACGGAAACGCCAGCGCCGAAGCGAGCGAGACAGAATGCGGATCAGGATGTCAGTGAAGCGAGGAGAACGACGCCGACGCCGGGAAGTAGTGGGAGCAAGAGGTTGAGTCATGTGCAGGTTAGTCCGAGGCCGAGGTCGGCTGGGTCGGGGAAGGTGGAGGGAGTTGGGGGGGATGGGGATGGGGATGGGGAGATGGAGGTGGTGGAGGTGGTGGAGGGTGGGGTGGAACTTCAAGCTCAATCTGAAGGCGAAACCGCACCTTCACACCCACACCAACCGTCCCACTCCCAACCCTCAACAGGAGGCACCTCCACACCAACGCCTTCCTTCGCCGAGCGCGTCATCCTCACCCCCCGCAGCATCATCAACCAGCTCAAGAGCCTCAAGGAATATCTTTTCCGCAGTCCGAGTTTAGTGCTAGGGAGAGAGGAGGAGAGGGAGATTGATGATGCGTTGTTTGATATTAGGAGGCAGGTGCATGCTGCGGGGTTGAGGGGGGAGGGTGAAGGGAGGTGAGGGAAGTAGTTTGGTTGTGGTGATTTTGGGGTTATTGGGGAAAGATTGGGGATGTGTTTTGATGGTTTGGATGTTGGATGTTGGATGTTGGGATGTAGTCAGATGTTGGGATGTAGGGAAACGTAGGATAATGTCATGGATATGAAGTCGATGTATAAGTGTCAATGTCTGTAAAGAGGAGTCTGAAAGCAATACATGGCTTATCCACAAGCATGACATCCCAATGTGCACAGCAGAATTTGATCATGTAATCCATATCCTAAGGTAAACTACACAAGAGTCTGAAGTCTTTCGCGACATTCTAGTTCATGCCTTTTGTCTGCACGCAGAACGCCCACCCATGCTCATAAAAGTTCGTTAAAAAGACACACGTAAAAGAAAAGGAACCCAAAAGCAACCGCCGATCCGCCCACACACACAGGAATTTTCCAACTACTGCAGAAGGGGATCGCGGAAGTGCTTCTGCGAGTTCTGCGCCTTCTCAACATTAGCCTGGTAGCGACTGCGAGCAGCCTGCTCCTTCCTCCTATCGCGCTTCTCGACAGCCTGGATCTCCTTCTTCTTGGCGTCGGTGACACCGACCATACCTCTGCCACCATTGGCACGAGACAGGAGCTGGCGGTCTTTATCGTGGCCGCGACCGCGGACTTGGAGTTGGCTGCCCTCCTCGCCCTCCTCGCCCTCCATGGTGACGTCGCCGTCCTGGTCCTCTTCGTCTTCGTCGCCGGCGGTGATGGCACCGGGTATGCGGGCGCGTTGGGCTTCCTCCATGCGCTCGGCGACGCCGGGGTAGTTGCGCAGGTTTTGGCGGTAGTACTTGTTTAGTGAGCGGTGACCTGCGGTGCGGCCGGAGGGGAGGTGGAGCTCGTATTCGTCGTGGTAGACGGCTTGGGGTGTGTGGTGCGCGTGGGAGTGGAAGCCGTCGGCAGCGCGGTGTGGGCGGGGGTCGGCGTGATTGTGGTGCTTCGACTTGTTGAGTGACTTGTGGCGGTGGCTGCGGTCGATGGGTACGGCTGTGATCTCATCGGTCGGTACGCTGGAGACAGTGCTGTCGGTCTCCCAGCCTGCGTCCTCTTCGGCGTTGCTCGACATGGCTGCGTCATCCTCTGTGGTGGTCTTCGTCTCGCGCCTGGCACCGAGCTTGATTCCGCCTCCTGTTGTAGATGACGAATCGTCTGAATCTTCAGCCTCCTCTGCCATCTCGTCGAAGTCGGCAGCGTCGGGGTAAGAGCTCCGGAAGTCGTAGAACTCGCCAATCTCGACCAACTCAATATCCGAGTCGAAGGCAATCATGCAGTGGCCGCGGTCGCGCATGTGCGTTTGAATGCCAGAGGCGGTGTGAAGAGTCTTGTGGCATTTGAGGCACTCGTGGTAGGCGTGGACCTTCTCGTGGAGATGCTTGATAAGCTCCTCGGGTTGAGCGAGGAATTCCTTCTCGGGTATGAACATGCCGTGGTATCGTCCCATGTGGGTGATGTTGAGCTGGAAGTTGGGCGACTTGTAGTTGCAGAATAGGCAGTCGAGGAGGGGATCGGTGGCAGGCTTGGTCGATGCGGCAACGGAGCCCTTGTCGTCTTCGGCGGCGGCGGACTCGTTCTCAGCTGCGTCCTCGCCTTCGAGGCTGGCATTTTGTAGACCTTCGGCGACATCTGCGACATCCTTGTCCCCGTTGACGGTGGTGGCTTCCGACTCAGCCATGGACTCTCCCAGCGAAAAGGCAGAGCTGACCATGGAGCCCGTTACCGATGCGGCGTCATCTAGTTGCGCGCCTCTGCCCGACTTGGCCATGTTGATGCGGTGCTTGGAGCTGTTGAGGTGGTTGTTGTAGGCATTTTCGCTGAAGTATGTCTTCTGGCATGGGGTGCACAGTTTCTCAAACGACGCCTTGGCGGCAGTGGCGGCAGCGGTGGCCTTGTTCGCAAGAACCTTCTCGGTGAAGATCTCCGAGGATAGCGGTGGGAGCGAGGCCACGCGACGCTTGAGGTTGTAGCGATGCCAGTCGGTCTGCATGTGCGCCCGCTGCAACTCGCTCGATCGGAAGGCGACCTGGCATGTGTTGCAAGTGAATGGATGCGTAGACTGGATGTTAGCCTGGGAAGGAACTTGCGACGCCATCTTTGCGAGTGTTTGGGGGGTTGACGATGTGGTTGCACTCGGAGGGAGGAGTAGAAATATAGGCGGTAGGTGGGGTTGAGTGTGGGATGTGGTAGCGCCGACGATTTCACGACTTTATGACTGGCCGAGGGGCAAAAAGCGACTAGGCCGAGCAGGGCGCGATTACAAAGTTGAGTAGGCGCGGGAGTCGATTCTGCGTCTTATCAGCAGTCCTGCGCACGGCGAAGATGGTGAATTGCGCAAAAGGCCGACTTGGGGCGAATATTGAAGCGCACAGGCATGACATCAATCGGCAGGCGTTGTGCCAAGCCACTGGCACCTGCCATCCCTGCAGCGGATTAGAGCCGCAGGGCAAGAGCACCCCTCGGCCACTACCTCAGCCCTACACTCATGTATCCGTCTATATGGGAGCGACTATGTGATACCATGACACTCGCACATACAATACCAGACTGCATCCTTAGCCGCCACTCTCTCTTGCAACAACATCGCCATCGATGATATGAGCATGTCAGACGGGACTGAGCACCCTCGCGATGCTCCGTACAATGCCACCAACCACACCTCATCGGCTTCTGCAGCGGCTGGCCCATCGACACGGTCATCACGTGCCTCGAACCGCTCGCGTAGGAAAGATGTGATAGACGTACAAGACACCAAACGCGTCCTGGAATGTTCACAGACAGAAAGACAGCGCCGCTTCCAACATCTTGTCCGATAGTGCGCCTATCACCCCCTCTCATTTTCGGAGCGAATGCTGACTGTTGACCAGCTACCTATCCCAGATCCTACATGGCTGTAAGAGTGCCTACTGCGATACCCCCACGTGCCTCTCATCCGGCAAGCGCATCGCGTCGAGACCACACCGGCCGCCTACATTGCTCACGGCCACGGCCCTAGCCCATTACCTCGCCGGTCAAGACAACCCGAACCGCGGCCTGTGCCCTCACGAGCTCAAGATTGCGCCTGAGTCGTTCAATATTACGAATGGCCTTGCCCAACATGCTAAAAACCACTCCGCCGAGGACTACCTGGTCTATCCTTCGGTATGGCAACTGGCACAACAGCGCAGGCAACGTCGTGCGGGAGATAATGGTCAACAAGACCAGGATGGCGACTTGATCAATGCCCTCAAGCAACGGCAGCAAGCCAGAAAAGACCCAAAGGCTCTTAGTCAGAACTTGTACGACAGCTTGACTATGATATACTCTTATACCACGCAAATACCCACACCTGCTTCTGTCCTTGCTTCATTGCGCAAACCCGAGCATACTCCTGCACATGACGCTCGTTCAGCTCAAACCTCCGCTATACTGCCTTCCCGACCAGACGGGCATGATGCGGAGTCAAATACCGGGCCAACGCTTGGTACAAACGGCTCGAACGCATCAGAATTGAATGGAAACTCGCGTATCGTTCGTCATAATTCACAAGCATCAGCCGCCGCGCGTGACAGTTCGCAGCCAGACAACGCTGGCGCCGAGGTCTTGGCCAACGGACACCATGTCCACAGGATACCCTACCATCCCTCGAACGGCATGACTCAAAGACATCCTTCAGCACCGCATCCTACTGCCGTGGATGGCGCATGCGATTCAGCAATGCTATCAATCTCCAAAACAGGAAAGAAAAGCTTCACTATCGGTGGGACATACCCGGCTGCTGTGCCTCGCGCGAAGCCATCATCGGCAGCAACCGAACTACCTACGAAGAACACTCCTCTTGAGGAACATCCACCATCCGGTGTACCCGTTGTCCCAACATTGAATTGCAGTATCCTCGATGAGTTCAAAGACGACGTCCATCGCCACGGAAAGAGCCACTCTACAGACTTCAATTACGTTGTGGACTTTGATCGTCGGCGACGTACGCGACGTACAAAACCCTTCGTCAACCGATCTCTATTCTATACTCTGAGCGACCCAGAAAAGCTACTTGCATCATTCCATGATACCAACCAAGACTTCAAAAACTCACCCTTACCTCATCTTGACTCATCACGCTTAGCGAACTCTTTTAGAGATTGGAACCATCGCAACGGTGCGCTCATCTTCGATAGCCTATGGCTCGCGCTGGATGCTTTATTCGTCTCTCCACCGGAACTCGACATTCAGAAGAGTCCTCGTCTGAGGCCATCAAGAAAGGGCGCTCCCAACAACAGTCCTTCCGACCAGTCATCCAGTGGTCATCAAGGTACCTCGCGCTATCTCGACACCCATGAAGCCGCTCATATCGTCATGGTATGCATACACGCACTCACCTCCCTGGTACCGCTTGGATGGTCGCACACATGGGCCCAAATACGGAAGCTTCGATCTTGGGGTGTCATGGTGCCCACTGCTACTCCCAATACCGACGCCTTTGCGCATCCCTACATGGACATCATCGACGAGTTGGAGTACGAACCGGCAGTGCGTCTTGCCGATCGTTTACTCCGGGCTATCGGGACGCGGACTTGTTTCGAACATATACTCGCCAGTTTAGACGTCGCAGAAACGAACCAGGGTGAGTCAGAAGAATTCCCGCCTCCTGTAGGGCTTGTGGATATGGTTGTACAACATTTGGAGGTGGTGGAGCGCGTCGGTCTGGCGACAAAGATGAAGCTGAATTCGAGCCATGATCGCGATGGAGATCCAGGGTGGACTGTGACAGCTACTTTTATGGAGTGGCTGAGGACTATCATCGTCAAGAAATGGGATAGCAAGGCTGAAATCAACAAATGGAGCAGCGTTGGTACAGCCGTGATGGTCCTTGACAAACTTCGTAAGCAGCTAACATGATCTCACTAGCAAGAGGCTAACATTTACAGATTCCAAGCGGCAAGCTCTACACTTACACTCTAACATGTTCGAGATGCCGATACTCGATGAGCGCATTGACACAGTAAACGAGCCTATCAACTACCTCACGTGGGAGCATCACCCCAATACTCTACACGTTTTCGAGTACCCATGCCTTTTCTCCGCACAGCATCTCGTAGCGTACGTCCGTACGATCAACTTCACCGAGATGATGAAGCAGTACGACCATACTATGCGCACCCACCAAATGCAGAAGTCGCTGGAGATGTTCCTCAAAGAACCGTATTGGTGGATTATTAAGAGGAAAATGAAGACTACCCTGAGTGAATACCTAGTGTTGGATGTCAGTCGCGAAGAACCTTTGAAGGACACGCTCGATCAGCTTTGGGGTATGGACAAGAGGATGCTGCTGAAACCGCTAAAGGTCAAAATGGGTCACAACGAAGGAGAAGTCGGTGCGGATCACGGCGGCGTGACGTACGAATTCTTCCGTGTTGTTCTGAGTGAAGCATTCAGGCCTGAGAATGGTAAGGCACATTGTACTACTGCAAGACCTCCTCGACTAACTTTGCCAGGCATGTTCACGATCGATCCACAGACGCACATGACGTGGTTCCAACCAGGCAGCTTTGAACCTCCATGGAAGTTCCAGATGCTCGGTATACTATTCAGTCTTGCGGTATACAACGGTATCACCCTACCCATCACCTTTCCCCTCGCCTTCTACGAGTACCTCCAAACCACCGGCAACCCACGCGTCGAAGGCCCAGCCGATTACGATCCCATCGACTACATCAGCGACGGCTGGCCCAGCCTAGCAGAAAGTTTCCGCACCCTCTTATCCTGGAGCGACGGCGACGTCGCAGACGTCTTCATGCGCGAGTACGTATTCAGCTACGAAGCCTTCGGCCAGCCGATCGACCAAAACCTAGGTGACAACTTCCCTGCCCTCGCTGAATCAAACTCCCCAATCGAAGAGCCTGGTCTAGTCACCAACGAGAACCGTCTACAGTACGTGAAGGACTACGTCCGCGCCTTGACATACAGTTTTGTCGCCCCTGGCCTGATTCCTTTCCTGCAAGGTTTCATGACTTGCATCCAACCCAAGAGCCTCGGACTCTTCACACCACACTCGCTCCGCCACCTCATCGAAGGCACACAGCACATCTCCATCCCCGACTTGAAACGCTGCGCGAAATACGAAGACGGGTATACGGCGCAGCATTCCAATATCCGCAACTTCTGGGACGTCGTAGAGGGGTATAGTCAGGAAGAATTACGCCTTCTCCTCGAGTTCGTTACTGCAAGTGACCGTGTCCCTGTCACGGGCTACGAGAGTATCACGTTTCACATTGTTAGGATCATGGGAAGCTCGGGGAGCTTGCCGAGTAGTAGCACGTGTTTTGGGAAGCTGTATTTGCCGGATTATGGGGATAGGCGGGTGTTGGAGCGCAAATTGGGACTGGCGATACGGAATTCGAAGGGTTTTGGGAATGTGTAGAGAAGATGATACACGGTATTCGGCAGAGACGCAGAGGAGGGAAGCGCAGCTACGGGTAGCTAGTGGCTGGAATACGAGGCACACTCGCTTGCTTGTGAGGCAGATCGTATACCGTAAGCGGAGCATGTCATGTCACACATATCTGTTTCCATAGCTAAAGCTTCGTCTCCTGCGGTCAGATTTGGAGCAAAAAAAAAAGGGCAAAAAAGAGCAAAAAAACATACAACAGCGGGGATTCGCTAGTGGTCACCCACCTAACTACTAATCCGCCGGTACACTGCTTGTATATGGCTGAGCGGACGGGAAGCCTAATTCTCAGTGTCCTATGGTCGTATGTGGATGAACAAGAAAGACATTGGCATATATCGAGCAGATGTTAAGGTCTTGCGACAGTCTTCCATGGTTATCTTTTTCCCGAGGGATGAGAAGATGTGTCATCAAAATGGGTGTATACAGCGAGGTTCATGCATTAGATTAGTAAGGCTCTAGGATAAGTTTGCGGCTCTTTCGAAGATGCTCGCGTAGAGGAGGGCATGTGTCTGTATTATAGCATTGCAAGGTGTTTATGAGAATCTGAGATTGTTTGCGTTAGAGATAGTTGGCGTTTGATAGGTTTGTGCTGTGATGTAAGGTGTTGTGTGAAGTGGGTTGTGTGAAGTGGGTTGTGTTGGTGGTTTACTCATCGTCGAGTAGTGAGGGCAGTTTGGGCTGCGGTTGACGAAATAGTAGTTGTGGTTTACTCATGATCGTGATCGACGAGCGTGTCTGCCCACGTATCCATGTTGTTCTTTATATCATCGTGACAATGAGGAGGGGGAGGGCGGCTTCGTTTGATTACTGACACATCGATATAGAATGTTGAGGGTTGACGTTGGGATGATTGCTTTCCTGGTCATGGAGTCCTGGTGATTAGAAATGCGATATGTTGAGTGACAGACGTTGTCTCATAACTTTGTCATACTCACGTTCCCTAGCTTACCATCTTTACATGCATGGTCCTGCTATACTATTTGGCTTCAGCAATATGGACGTGATAAATACTCTACCCTGTAGGTCTCATGACCATCTCGTACGTAACGCCAGCCAGCGACCTAGCAAGGCCGCTCTCCGGCTGCTTTCTTCTTATCAGCAACTACGGCGAGAATTACCATGCCAAACAAGGACTTCGCAGCACGAGTCGAGTCGAGTCGAGTCAAATCGGAAGGCCCGCGAACGTATGCGCTGGACGTCATACCCACCAATCAGCCCCTTCCACGAAACCTTCCCAAAACATGAAGTTCCTCTTACACTAGCGTATGTGGACCCCAAAGCTCAGTGGCGACTATGCGCACTTCGGTTGTCGGTCGTCTCGGAGTCGTTGTCCCGGGCCGTCGCTGTGTCGCTTTCTCACCGACCGGATCGTCGCGCAGCGTTCGGGCGACGACCCGGCGCCTGGTTATCAAGAGTCATTCGAGAGTATCGGGCGTCGGTCGGGAAAATGCCAAGAACACTGAGCTCGCGGACTTTGTCTTCGGATGCGCCGGCGATTGGCTAGATTGCCTTGGTGTTTTGGTGTTTTGAGGGTCCTCGTGACTGGTATGTCTGGAAATTGGCGGTGCGTTGACGGACGGGACTGCAAGTCGTGCGTGCGTCGCGGATGCTGGCGATTAGCGTATGTGGAGATGCTGTTGGCGGGCTGAGGCAGCTCTGTGGCCTGCAAGATATCATTATCGATTCGTACCAGGCGGGCACGAAGGGGTGGTTGTTAGCGCAAGTGGGGGAGGTAGTTGTTATCGAGATTGCGAGGGTTTCTTGCCCAGGATGGGAGAAAAATTCCAGGGAAGAATGGAGTGGCGGGTATAATGACTGATGTTGTTCTGTGCTAGTCGTGGTGTTGGAGGACAGGATAGTTGTGATATCACTGCTGGGTTGTAATGTGGTGAACTACTTTTTGTGGGCCCGACGACCTTAGATGGTTTAGTGGACTGGGGATGTAAACATGACATTTGGGTGTGGGTGGGTATACCAACAATACAAAACTCAATCCAGAATTGTTTGTATGCTGCTTACAGTGGTGGTGGAGCGGAGCGAGCATGCATGTCCAGCGCGCGATCTAGCCCTCGAGTCGAGAATCAAGACCATCGCGTGGGGATAACTGCATCTGGAGTTGTGGACACGATGGATAAGCTCCGAAGGCCCCTTGCCCCTGCAGTTCTCTAACCGAACGACGACTGTACCACGAGGCAGCTCAAGTCTGGCCGAACTGATACGACGTCCAATTACAGTAATTTCTCGGCGCATCGATGCCAACACATCAATCTGCGTGCAGGTCGGAGAGACTTTGAAGGAGTCAGACCACAAACGGGTCGAGCCGACAAAACAATCATGTTCACGTGCCTGTCCGGTGAATCCTGCGAAGACTCTAGTGCCAGCGAGCCTTCGGAGAGCCGCATGCATGTGTCGTTGGAGACTGCAGCGCGCTATCAGTAGCCTGCAGCCACTTGGCATCAAATAGTGTTGATTCGCCAATGCAACGAGACATCTCTCGTTCGGGCTAGGCGGACGCAGCAGACCAATGACGGTGGGATCTGGAAGAACATGCGGACACTCCGCCTCGCACCGGTCGCTAGATGATCCGAACACCAAAGTGTATACCGGTGGGTGGAGCCTGGACGACTTCAATGCTCGCGTGCCATGCATGTTCACGTAGGAGCGACGTCCCGAGGAGTCGCGAGGTCGCGAGGAGTTGACCGAGTGGCGCTCGCGATGACGGTGGCAAGAGGACGCGCAGCATGCAGTTGAGCCATTGCATGCAGTATTGGTCGAGAAATGTCAAGATGATGTTCAGTCAGTAGGAAGAAGATGAGCAACTAAGGTTGCACACTACACAGGTAAGGTTTGCGGTGCCAAGCGACGTGCCAAGTCCTCCACGACTCCTACCCAAACTTCATCAATTCCTCATGTGCTCAAATTCTAGCGGATGTACATGCTTGCATGCTTGGCTGTTACGTAGTCCCGACTTGATCGACTACCCTGCATATGGACCATATGCATGGCGTTGTCAATCTCGACGTCCGTGGTCGCTGCTCCTCGAAAGGGATCGATCACACTGGCAATACATGCGCTAGCGACTGACAGACATGCTGTATTCTGTTGCATGGCTGTGCGGATATGATTGCAAAGGAACTGGTCTGGCCAGATTTGCTACCTATGGGTGATGCAGCGTGGCAATCTTGAATCCTGCAGCGGAAGGCGGGAGGATGACTGAGCGCTACCAGAGTCTGGCCGCGCACACAACTTGCATGTTACGCAGAAATGGCGAGGCGACGACGAAATCACTGAAAGAATTTCATGTCAGAGATTTGCAACAATCACTATGAATTACAAGATACATCATATTGTTCTGGATTAATGTAACCCTGCTCGCTAGATGGTGAATACCCCAGCCAAGACGTGAGGTAAGATCGCGTGCTCGATGAAACACTACATGATGATCCCTCCAGCATCGAACATCGAACTGCGGCTGGTCGGGCCTTTTGAAGTCAGACCCGGCGGTGTGCTCGTAGAGGTGGGATTTCGCCATCGCCCAAAAGGGACTAGTTCGGGCGGGATTGGTCACTCGAAGCGTGGATTGCGTAGGATTGCGTGACCGCTGGAAGTCACGACCCAACCTTTTGTAAGGCGCGTCAGGGTCGCACTTCCCCACATACACCGTGCGGCCGACGCGACTTCCGGGGCGTCGCGCTTCTTATCTTCCCTATCTATAAAGGTCCCGCTGCCCTCATCTCAACCAGAGTTCGGCCACCAAGTTTCCTGCCTTCACCCACATTCAGAAATTAATTGCTTCTTCCTACAATATCATCGAAGCCTCAAGTCTACAACCACAACCACTGCCACTACAGTATGGCACCCAGTCTCTTGCTAGACCCAGAGTCGCCGCCCTCATCCTATGTCCACACCAGCAAGCAAGCCTTCAGCCAGGACGGCGGTGTCTCACTCAAGGAGGCCCAGGCTCCCGTTGGCGGCGACTTTTCATTCTCTTCTACAGCCATGAACGGTAATGGTAACGGCCATGTCAACGGTAGCGATGGCTTCTCCGGCAACGGGTTCTCAGATGCTCAGCAAGGCGGAAGCGATTTCATTACTGCTCAGACTCTTCGTCAACAATCGGACAGCTATGCGACTCAGGCTCGCACTTCGGGAGACGGAAAGCGTCCCAACATCTTGTACATTATGGCCGATCAGATGGCCGCACCCATGCTAAAGTTCAATGACCCAGAGTCAGTTATCAAGACACCTCATCTTGATGAGCTTGCTAGGACCGGCGTCAACTTCGCGAGCGCTTACTGCAACTCACCTTTGTGTGCACCATCTAGGTTCACCATGTGCAGCGGTCAGTTGCCATCCAAGATCGGAGGATACGACAACGCCTCGATCCTGAGTCCAGAGATCCCGACCTACGCCCACTACCTCCGCCGCGAAGGATACGAGACTGCGCTCGCAGGAAAGATGCACTTCATCGGCCCGGACCAGCTCCATGGCTTCGAGCACCGACTTACTTCCGACATCTACCCTGGCGACCTGGGATGGTCCGTCAACTGGGACAAGCCAGAGGAGCGTCAAGAGTGGTACCACAACATGGCTTCGGTCATGCAAGCCGGACCATGTGTGCGATCCAACCAACTCGACTATGACGAAGATGTCATGCACAAGGTAAGGGATCTCAGTAGTACAATATACTCCAGCGGTATAGGGAAGTCTTCTAACATACCTTCAGGCTCAACAGTACCTCTACGACTACGTTCGATCTGACCCCGAGAGCCGTCGGCCATTCGCCTTGACCATCTCTTTGACCCACCCACACGACCCCTACACCATGATCCAAGAGTACTGGGACCGATACGAGGGCGTCGACATTCCCCTGCCCAAGGTTGAGATCGCCCAAGAGAACCAGGACTCTCACTCTCAGCGCCTGCTCAAGACCATCGACCTGTGGGACAACCCCGTTCCAGACGAGGCCA